AATGGAGATACCTCCAGATGATCTGTTGTTGTACAGGATCGTTATGGAGATTCTGGGTTTTTTGTTTCTCCATATGAAGCTGAGAATCTTTTTTTCAAGGTCTGTAAAGAATTGAGTTGGTATTTTGATGGGAACTGCATTGAATCTGTAGATTGCTTTTGGCAGGATGGCCATTTTCACAATGTTAATCCTACCAATCCATGAGCACGGGAGATCTTTCCATCTTCTGAGATCTTCTTCAATTTCTTTCTTCAAAGACTTGAAGTTTTTCTCAAACAGGTCTTTCACTTGCTTGGTTAGAGTCACACCAAGCAGCAAACAAAGTAATCCAATTAAAAAATGGGGAACAGAGCTAAACAGAGAATTCTCGACAGAGGAATATCGAATGGCAGAGAAACACTTAAAGAAATGCTCATCCTCATTAGCCATCAGGGAAATGCAAATCAAAACGACCCTGAGATATCACCTTAACACCCATCAGAATGGCCAAAATGAAAAACTCAAGGGACAACACATGCTGGAGAGGATGTGGAGAAAGGGGAACCCTCCTCCACTGCTGGTGGGAATGTAAACTGGTTCAACCACTCTGGAAATCTATCTGGCGCTTTCTAAGACAATTAGGAATAGTGCTTCCTCAAGACCCAGCTATCCCACTGCTAGGTATATACCCAAAGTTTGCTCAAGTACACAAAAGAGATATTTGCTCAACCATGTTTATAGCAGCTTTATTTGTAATAGCCAGAACCTGGAAACAACCCAGATGTCCATCAACGGAGGAATGGGTACAGAAATTGTGGTATTTTTACACAATGGAATACTACTCAGCAATCAAAAAGGAGGAAATCATGAAATTTGCAGGCAAATGGTGGGACCTAGAAAAGATCATCCTGAGTGAAATATCCCAGAAGGAGAAAGACAAACACGGTATATACTCACTTATATAGACCTATAAGATATGATAAACATAATGAAATCTATACACCTAAAAAAGATAATCAAGAGAGCGGACATGGGGTAAGATTATCAATCCTCGTTTTGAAAGACAGATGGGATGCACATTAAACATTGACAGGAGTCTACTGAGCGCATTTGAAAAACTCTAACTAGCAGTGTTTTTAAAGCAAAGACTCATGACCAAACCTTTGGCAGAGTACAGGGAATCATAAGAAAGAAGGGGAGTTAGTCTGATGAGGAAAGGATAGGAGCTCCACAAGGACCAAACATATCTGGACACAGGGTCTTTTCTGAGACTGACATGCAACCAAGGACCATGGATGAATGTAACCTAGAACCTCTGCTCAGATGTAGCCTGTGGTAACTCAGTAACCAATTGGTTTCCCATAGTGAGGGGAACAAGGACTATTTCTAACAGGAACTCAATGACTGGCTCTTTGGCCTCCCCACCCCCCAAGGGAGGAGCAGTCCTGTTAGGCCACAGAGGAGAGCTTTGCAGCCAGGTGGACTTGGCAAGGGGCACGGTGGAGATGAGGGAGGGAGGGACTGGGAGGGAATGAGGGATGGGGACACGGCTGGGTTACAGAGTTAATAAAATGTAACTGATAAGAAAAAAATAAAATTAAAAAAAAAGAAATAAAATAAAATGACCTCACCAAAAAAAAAAAAAAAAAAAAAAGTAGAACCTGAAGTGGTTGTTCCTAAGACAGTAGTACCTAAGGATTACAGGAAGAACAAGGAAGACTTCTATCTTGTTTGTAGTGTTCTGTATATAAATTTAGTCCTTTGATTCATAGGTATGCTTACTCCTTGAAAATTTAGTGAGAATTTTCTTAGGGTTTATATATTCCTGTCTAGTAGCTGTTTGAATAATTGTAATGCTGTTTTGTCACCAAATGGAGAGACTTGCTGGAAGAGAAAACAAGTAGTTTGTGGTGCTATGCTACTATATGTACCGATTGTGAAATTCTGATTAAGCTATAGTAAGATTGACACAATTAAAATCTTTGAAAACCTTTAAGGATTTTTGAATAAATAGCCATATAAAAATCTATTCTCTTTTGGTATCTGTAAACTTGTAACCACTGGTGAGAATAATTTAATAGTATTTAATAAAAGTGAACATATGTAATTCTATTCTTTGGAAAAGTTTTGCATATGAATAATAAAGGCATGTGTACATTTTCTTAGAATGGTTTGATAAAGGCAAAAATCTGTAAACAGTTTTTTTTCCCCCCAGGAGTGTAGAAAAACGAACACTGATCATTTTTTTCAATTATTTCTTTTATTTTTGAGATTATAATACATCAATTTCCCCTTTTTCCTCTCTTTAAGCTCTCCCATATATGTTCCTTGCTCTCTTATTTATGGCCTCTTTTTCTCATAAATTGTTGTTAAGTGCATGTACATATATTTGCATATACACAGATATATTCCTTAATATAACCTGCTCAGTCTGTATAATATTAACTTGTTCATACGTTTCAGAGCTGACCATTTATATTAGATAACCACTTAATGTGTTCTTTCCTGGGGAAGACTATTTCTCTCACTCTCAGCATTTGTTAGTTGCTTGTAGTTCTTTGTGTAGGCTTGAGGCCTTGTGGTCTTTCTCTTACTTACTTTACTGTTTTGTTATTGTTGTCCTTGCTCATCTCATATTTAGTTATGTTGGTGAGCCATTATGTGTGTAGCTTCTGACATTACTAGTAAACTCTCTGATTCTTTGGCTTGTATAATCTTTCTGTCTCTTCTTTGTTATTTTCCCTGAAACTTAGGTGCAGGAGTTGTTTTGTAGATATATCTGTTAGGACTGGGCTCCACAATACTTCATTTTGATTGGTTGTGGTTTCCTGTAATGGTCTTTATCTGTTGCAAAGAGAAGTTATCTTCTTGAAGGGTGAGGACTCTAATTATCTGTGGGTATAAGGACAAATATTTAGAATGTAGTTAGGGATTGTACTAGTTTTGTAAAATGATGACTTTGTTTTCAAATATTCCTGTCTTCAGTAGCCTTGAGTAATTTATAATTTACATTACCAGACATGCTTTTCTTCTTTGGAGCAGATCTTCAGTCCAAGTACAGAGTTGTTGGTTACCACCAAGTATTCGTTCCACTTCTTTACATTCTGACTTATTTGCATCTGTAATGGAATTTAATAGCAAAAATTTGATAAGTCATCATCATGATTATATTTTAGGTTTTTTTTTTTAATTACGATGCCATAGAAAAGTATGCAGCAGTAATATTTTCTGCCATTTAGAAATGGTTTAGAAAGCCTTTTATAAGAGGTTAAATTTAAACAACCAAATAAAAGCAATGTTGTGGTTGGTGATATTAGGGAATATGATCAAGAAAGAATATGTGAGATTTTTCTAGATCATATATTAATGTTTTGTTTCATAGTATTGTTAAAAGATTCACTTGTGTTATTTAGTTCAATTTACTTTTCTTGGAGACAGTGTCTCCAATCTTGGTTTTCCTGGAACCTCTAGAGATCTATCTGCTATGCCTCCCTAGTCAGTTTTGCTTAAACTGCATTATACATTTTCATTAGTTAATTTCCTCCAGTCTATTTGCCAGAGTATCACCAAAAATTAAAATAACAGTGTACGCTCCTCAGTTTTAGAGGCCATAATATCAGGCTTTAAGCTTGTTTCTCAAAGATGTTCTGGAATTGGTTTCTGGGCTTAGTAAATTGCCAAGTTAAAATAGATCTCAGAATCATTACAGATTCCTAAGGAAGTTAATATAGGAGCTGAATGATAATACTTACCATCAAATTTGTACAAGTATTTACTTTAAAAATAATTATAAGGAGCCAGGTGTGGTAGTACACACTTGTAATCCCAGGACTTGGGGAGGCAGAGGCAAACAGACCTCTGTGAGTTCAAGGCCAGCCTGGTCTACAAAATGAGTCCAGGGCAGCCAAGACTACAAAGAGAAACCTGTCTTGAAAAACCAACAACAACAAAAAATAATAATTATACAGAGTTGTTTATAGCCATTTTCATACAATTATATAATATACTTAGAGCATGTTACTTCTGTAAAGGCATTTCTTTTCTTTTTTAGACTGTTTCAGGTAGCCCAAGCCAGTCTGGAACTCTGTGTAGCCAAAGATGACTTTAATTTGTTTTGTTTTGTTTGTTTGTGTGTTTTGCCTTGTCTCCAAGTGTTAAGATTAATGGTATGATCTTCAGTGCCTAGCTATGGGTGGAGCATGTGGTGGTGATAGGGGTCAAACCCAAGGACTTTGAAACAAGCATTCTCTTGTAAGACCTGGGGTCTTACAGCTCAGGAGTTCAAGATCCCGCCCTTCCCAGAAATTCCCCCAGACCACGACTCATTGCAAAAGCAAGAGGTTTATTAACCATTTCGCAATGGGGTCACCCCTGCCGGTCAGCAAAGAGTGGCACCGGGAGAATTGTGGGAAATTTGAAGTTGCAGTTTTGGCAATTTAGGATTGGATGAGGAAGCTATAAAGTAAGATAATTGATTAGTCTTAGGTGCTCAAGCTTGGCCAGTCCTGCCAAGTGTGGATGCAGCTGCAATTGAAGGTGGGGGTGGTTCGCTCATCCTTGAAGATTAGGGCTGGCTTTTGGCTGGAGTTCAGGAGCTACTCAGAAGAAGGATTGAGGCCGTCTGGGTTCGTTGCTAAGAAACACTATCTTGAAGAGAAGGGTCTGGTCATTCTTTTTGCTGAGTGAAGGTTATTGCTTGCTTGCTTTTTTTATATCTGTCCTCACAGATAGGGTCACATTCTTCCGTTCTCTGGAAAGGTACTAAGAGGCTTTAGCTTAACCTGGACCTAAAACTCAAAACTATAGGCTTTAGAAGACATATAGGTTACAAAGTTAGTCTAACCCTTTCACTCTACCAGCTGAACTACAACCCCAACCGCTTAAAAGCACTTTAACTTTCCTTTAGACTTGTTTTCTTAGATTGTTTGAATTGAGTAGCCTTTTTTTGTGTGTGAAAATTATCACATAAATTTGAAAGAAAGGTCTTTATTCTAACTGACAGTAAGTTTCTTTTATTTCAGATTCAAACATCCACTTCTTTGCCAATAACACAGTTTTCACAGAAGATAATCCCTCTTTTGGAAAGGCATTCTGCTACTGAAGACGGTAAAGTGAAATTGCTTAATAGAATCTTCCTTATTACATATGTATAACTGAAGTAGTTTACATTTTGAGGGATGTTTTCTTCAAATGATCTTTCTATAAAGAATGATTAAAAAGAGAAAAATTAACAATTATTTATATTTATATTTATACATGGGAGTCAATCAGAAATGAGTTACTCAAAGAGGTGATTAAAAGTTATGTATATATATATCTGTTCCAATTGAACAAAAGAAAAATGTTGGGCTTTTTTTTTTTCTCCCCCTCCTGTCTGAGGGAGAAAAGTTATAGGAAAATGGCTTGGAAAAGAATGGCAAACAAATTTTTTGGTTCTGTTGCTCTCCTTGTGGAGTTCCTGTCCTCTCCAGTTCTTACTGTTGCCCACTTCTTTCATAAGATTCCCTGCACTCTGCCCAAAGGTTGCCCAGAATTCTCAGCATCTACATTGATAGTTTGCAGGGCAGTGCTTTTCAGAGGTCCTCTGTGTCAGGCTCCTGGCCTGTTTTCTCCTTCTTCTGATGTCCATCCTGTTTGCCTTTCTGGATAGGGATTGAGCATTTTATTTTAGCAAGAGTCCTCCCTCTTGATTAGTTTCTTTACAGATTTTAGTAGGTTTATCCTATATTATATGTCTATATGAAAAAATCTGAGCACAGGGGTCTTTCTTGAGACTGATACTCCAGCCAAGGACCATGCATAGAGATAACCTAAGACCCCTGCACAGATGTAGCCCATGGCAGTTCAGTATCCAAGTGGGTTCCATTGTAATAGGAACAGGGACTGTCTCTGACATGAACTGATTGGCCTGCTCTTTAATTACCTCCCCCTGAGGGGGAAGCAGCCTTACCAGGCCACAGAAGACAATGCAGCCACTCCTGATGAGACCTAATTGACTAGGATCAGAAGGAAGGAAAAGAAGACCTCCCCTATCAGTGGACTTGGGGAGAGGCATGCATGCAAAGGGTGCAGGAAGGGAGGAATTGGGATGGGAGGAGGGAGGGAACCACTGGGGGGGATACAAAGTGATTAAAGTGTAATTAATAAAGAATTAAAAAAAAGAATAAAAAAATAAGAAATATATGAATAAAAAAAAAGAATGGCAAACAAAGGTGAGGTTGAGCATGCAGAGTAAAGTCAGCAATCTTATAAGAATGTGTTGACCGTGTTTAAGTGGAAGGTCCCATTTCCAAGAATATTTGGGCAGCACAAATTGGCCTTGATTTGGAAGTAAGAAAAGAACACAAAGTTGGCGGTAGGGTTGGAAGAGAAGTGTCAGTGGATCTAGAAAGAGTTTGGGAAGAGACAGTGAATATGATCAGAACACATTGTCTGAAATCCTCAATTAATATTTGTTAAATAATTGAAAATATTTACATATTTTTAAAAAAGAATGCCTTTCCTGAAGAGGGAGACAGCAATTCAAAGGTAATTTCCTATGTGCATTTTGGCATCCTTATGAAAGGAAGCTAATGCTTTAATTTCAGAGCTGCCTCTCTGTTGTTCATAAACTAATCACGAAGTGAATCTTTATGCAGGAGTGTGTCATTGGGAATGATCTGTTCTCCAGTTACACAGAAAATGGCAGGCATCGGCAGTGTTTCTAAACATTTTTGCTTAGATTCTTTACAATGATAAAATTTAAAAATATTTTAATGTTACATTTGTAGTGGAATCACTTTGACAAGAATAAATTGTAATTTTAATCCCACGGATCACAAACAGAAATCATTATTAAGTTTGAGGTTTAAAAAAAGTGAAAGTTTGTAGATGCCTAATTAATAATGTAGTATTTGAAGAAGTTTAAGATGGTAAGGTTTTTTTTAATCTAATCTCTTTTAATTTTTAAAGAGGAAATTGTTTTAATATCTAAATTTACATATAAAACTTATTTTTAAAATTCTACTGTCAAGTGCCTGTTTGTTTTTTCATGGCAATGTTGAAAAATATTTCTACACTTTCAAGACTCTAGAGAAGATTAAATATCAGAGAAAATACCATGTTCTCTTGGGTTTTGGGGAAATGTGTATGTGGTGAGCAAAGAGATGTTAGTGTGACTTCATCTGATCTGGACAGTTTTAGCTCTTTAGGGATTTAGTGCACTGTAGTGTATCTGGAACTTCCCTTTACTAGTTTCTTTTTAGATAATGTGCTTTCCGTGAAAGTTTCTTTTATATAGTGTTTTAATCTTATCCATCCACCACTACTCTTTTCACTCACCCTAAGACTCAGCACTGTTTCTCTCTAACTTAGGTCCCTTTTTCATCGTTAATAATAACCCCAGAGTCCAGATAGCGCAACGTGTGCACGTGAGTGTATGGCTAGCCTCTGAGACATGAGCAACTTGGCAGAGTCTCATCCTTAAAGAATGAATTTCCCTTTTCAGCAGCCATTTCCAGCAGTGTAACTAAGTGGTTTAGTATTTTTTACAGTTTTGGGTCCCAAACTTTTAATATAAAGTCTGGGGGAACGTGGCAGTCTGCTCTGCTGGTAACTTTTAAGTTAAAGGTCATTGTAGGACATGATGGAAAGGGCCTTAAGTATGATACCTCCTAACCTTCCAAAGAAAACAAGTTATCAGCATCTAACAATAGTCCTTTCCTAAATTCTTATTAACCCATGCCTGCAGGGAAAGTTTAAAGAATGTCACCATACCTGCACTGTATTTGCACATAGGCAATTGCAGTTTTAAACGAAGTTCTGTTAACACTAGCCAGCGACAGCAAGTATGTTAGCGTATTGCTCTCAGTGTTCGTAATGTACACAATCACTCATACTGTTTTCTACTATAAAAACTTCTTGTTCAACTTTTAAGTAGACTAATCATTATTTTACAGCTGATATATTTGAGTCAGGAGAGATAGCTCAGTGGTTAAGAGTTCATTCTGTGCTTACATGAGATTGTAGTGAAGTTCCTAGCCACCCACACTGGGCCGTTGCCTACTGCCTCTTACTCAAGCTCAAGAGACTCTGCTGTTCTTCTTTGGACGCTGTGGACACCTGTATTCACGTAGCTACACACAGATATACATATACATATAATTAAAAATAAAAATGAATCTTAATTGACTTTAAGCTAAAGATAAAATATTTTCGATTTTCCATATTTTTAATCCTTTGCAATGTTATTTATTTAAAAGTAATTTCTGTTTTCTTTCCCTTAGCTTTGTGTTCAACTTTAATATAGACCCATAGCACTTTAATGCTCACGTTTATTTCAGAAAATTATAAAAATGTTAAATATATATAATTTCTATTGTTGACTTTAACAATATATTTTATGAAATTTAGACTCAGAGGAGGAATATTTTGATGCACCGTGTAGTCCCTTGGAAGAGCATCCTCAAATTCTATGTAGAGTTAAAAGTACTCGACAGAAAAAATCGCTAAGGGAAAATCATTCAATGAATTTAACTAAACTTAGGATGCGATTTGAAGTAGCAGAGGTATGTAGTATGGTTACATAAATGTGCTTATGTGAATTGTCACTTACACTTTATACAATTTACTTATATAATCTAATTTATATTTGTTTTTTGTTTTTTTTTTAAGATTGTCTTTCTTAAGAATTAGTGTTTAAGTGGTATATTGTGGGCAGTTTTTCCAATAAATATTTTTTGGTGAGATTATGCAATGTAAGAATGCATTGTATGTGGGGGGGAGGAGGAAATGTAAAATCAGTAGTAAATTTAAATTCTTAACATACCACATATACATCTTGTGTATTTATACATTGTTATCACATACTTATTTGCTTTGCCTTTCTTGTACAGGTTTTGATTCAGTTTTATCAACTTTTGGGAAACTGTGAACTACCTGTGCTGGAAATGGGTGTTTTAGGATTGGGAACAGAAGTTGAGATTAGAACATTTGATTTGAAAGCAAATGCTTTTTTGAAAGAATGCTGGTTAAAATGTCCAGAATACTTAGGTAAGACTATTAAAACATATAAGTTACTTTCATAATTTGATTACCTGCTGTAGAATTTTCTGTTCTTCAGACTTTGAATCCATATGTTTATATTTTTAAATAGTCTGAAAAAATAAAACCGTTACATTTAAATTTATGTTAGTCTATTTTCTTTCTTAATACATTTCTAATTAAAATTTAATTCTGTCACTTACACTTTGTCTTTCTCCTCCAGCCCCTCCCCTCTCCCTTCCATTCACTTCTTTCCTCACACCCTCCACACTCAAATCAGTAGCACCTGTCTTTCTTGGAATGTTTGTATTTGCATGTATACACATGTACATAGATAAAATCTTCTGGGTCTGCTTTCATTGTAAATGTATGGCTTCAGGGATTGACCACTTTTGTTGAATAACCAGTCTGGGAGATCATTCCTGGGAGAGGTTAATTCTACTACTCTCTGCTGTCATTTTTGTGTAGGTGTGGGACCCTGTGAAATTTTGCCATTTCTACATTAGCATGTCTACTGACATTGCCGTTGTTCCGGTTCGGTTTATGGAGCCATTTCTAGAGTTTCACAGCAGAGTTTCTGGCTCTGACAGTCTGCGGTTCCCTCTTCCATGAATTTCCCTGAGCCATAGATGCAAGAACTGTCAGGTCTTTGTACAGTGGTTTTCTATAATGGTCTTCATTTGCTATAAAGAGAGTTTCTTTAGTGAGGAATTGTATCTGCACCTAAACCTGGATATTTGAGGCTCGTAACCACAGAGAGAACATCATTTATCTCTCTGGATCTGAATTACCTCATTGAATACAGTCTTTTCTAATTTTATCCACTTGACCTGCAAATCCCATGATTCACTTATTGGCTTCCCCAACAGTGTGATAAATTGCTGAACTTATTCACAGTATTGTCACCCGAAATTAATTATTTACTTCAGGTTTAAACATTTGTGTTAAACTATTTATGTGTTTAGACAAATTAATATAAAGGTGAGTTTCTCCAGTGGTATCATTATAAACATGGATTTAGTGTTCTGAATATCTGCAGTCCTTCACTCCTTCCGCTGTGGTACTTGGTTTGTGATCGTCTCCCTATCTTCCATGCTTTACCCTTTTGTTGCATGTAAAATTTGAACAATACAGCGAACATTCATTTAAGGTTAGCTTCTTTTAGCAATCTGTGTTTAGATTTTATCCTTATTCTTTCATGGCTTGACAGCTAGTTACTGGTGGTCAGTAAATCATATTTCTCTGTCTAGGAGCATTGGTTACCAGTCCACTCACTTCATGAAGCACACCTTGATTTCTTCCAAGTTTTGGCAATTAGAGGAAAGATGCTTTAAATATCAATATGAAAATTTTGGTGTAGACCTGTGTTACTCCTTTCTTTAGGTGAATACTAAGGTGCATAATGGTGAATTAAATGTTAAGTACTAACTTTTGTCATGGACCTCCAAACTCTTCTAGTGGTAATAGCACTTTTCATTTCTGCTGGTACTAGTGCTTATTGTTCTATCCTTTCAGCATTTTGTTAGTGTCTGAACTTGAGTCCTTTTAATAGGTATATAATTGCAGTTTGAATTTCTTTGTAACATATACTGTGAAAATTCCTTTCATTTGCCAATTTGTCATAGCTTCTGTGGTGAGTCTGCTAAATCCATTGGCTCTTTTTAAAAATCACAAGTCAAATTAGTAGTTTAACCTGAAAGTAGGTCAGAGGATATGCATTTGTATGGTTTCACACTCTCTCCTTGTTCTACAGCCTGTGGGAATTTGAGTGTGGTGGACTGTGTCACATTTCTCTCTCAGTCTCCCAAACTTGAATTTGTTGGATTGTCACAGTTTATTTCTTGGTTACAAAAACCTGAATGTGGTGTATTGTATTACAGTTACCTCTTAGTCACACAAACCTGAGTGTGATAGACTGTGTTAATAGTTAAATAGTTATCTCTTGATCACACAAAAATCATCTATTGAAAATGTTGACTCTTATTTTCTCTTTTCTTGCCCCCCCAATGTATATATATATTTACTATTGGAAAGAGAAGTAAACCAACTGAATAGTGTTCTCTAGTAATCCATAAGTATTATAGTCATTGTTATTGTTAATTTTTATGTTTATGCTTATGTTTGTGTTCCCAAAAGCAGAGCATAAGTAAATACTTTGAAACTGTACCTATTATTAGTGTACCTACTCCTAAAACAGTTTGCTCTTATTTTCTGAGAAGGAGTGGGTAGCACAGTTGTTTTGTGAAAAGTAAAAAACTGGCAAAAAACTTTTCAAAAAGTTGGTAAATGTGTAAATGAAGTGTGGATCTTCTTAAGGGTTGAAAACTGTAGTTAATAATACCTGAAATAGGGCTGGTTCTTGTACTCACAAGCTGAAGAACTACGTGCACATTGTTCTGTTTTTCTCTGCAAGCATAGGGTTATTAATGTGTAGTTCTTTATTCCAGTCTCTAGATATTGATTTTTAGCATCCATAAGTAATTTGATTGTGATAGTTTTAAAGGCTCTACAGATACCTCTTCTCTAACAATTCTTATAGAATGTTTAGTTTTTAACAGAATCAGCAACGTAATTGCTATATACTGCTTTATGCTGATTTTTATTTAGTATATGAAAAATTAACACTTTATTGATTTGTCTCAACAGCTACTATTTTGAGAAATACTGTTTTCTTTCAAGGCATTGTTATGACTCAATACTAGAATTCTTCATTCTCTGTCATGGCCCTAAAAATTACATTGGTTCTTCTCTCTCTTCTTTTCTTTTTTTTTTTTAACCACATTCTTTTTTTTTTTTTTTCTTTGTTTTGTTTTTATAATTTTTTTATTTTTTTATTATTAGTTACATTTTATTAACTCTGTATCCCAGCTGTATCCCGCTCCCTCATTACCTCCCAAACCCTGCCTGCCTCCCTCATCTCCTCCCTGCCCCTTTTCAAGTCCACTGATTGGAGAGGACCTCCTCCCCTTTCATCTGACCCTGTTTTATCAGGTATCTTCGGAACTGGCTGCAAAGTCCTCCTCTGTGGCCTAGCAGGACTGCTCCTCCCTTGGGGGCTGGGGAGGTCAAAGAGCCTGCCTTTGAGTTCCTGTCAGAGATAGTCCCTGTTCCCCTTACTATAATTGGTTACTGAGCTACCACAGGCTTCATCCAAGCAGAGGTTCTAGGTTATATCCATACATGGTCCTTGGTGGAGTGTCAGTCTCAGAAAAGACCCCTGTGCCCAGATATATTTGGTCCTTGTGGAGCTCCTATCCTCTCCGCGTCATACTAACTCACCATTCTTTCATATGATTCCCTGCACTCTGCCGAATGTTTGATTATGAGTCTTAGTATCTGCTTTGATATACTGCCAGGTAGAGTCTTTCAGGGGCCCTCTGTGGTAGGCTCCTGTCCTGTTACTTGTTTTCTTCTACATCCAATGCACCTCCCATTTGTCTTTGTAAGTGAGGATTGATCATCTTACCCTGGGTCCTCTTTCTTGTTTATCTTCTTTAGGTGTATAGATTTCATAATGTTTATCATATCTTATAGGACTATATGAGTGAGTATATGTGTGTCTTTCTCTTTCTGGGATACCTCACTCAGAATGATCCTTTCTAGATCCCACCATTTGCCTGCAAATTTCATGATTTCCTCATTTTTGATTGCTGAGTAGTATTCCATTGTGTAAAAATACCACAATTTCTGTATCCATTCCTCTGTTGAGGGACATCTGGGTTGTTTCCAGGTTCTGGTTATTACAAATAAAGCTGCTACAAACATGGTGAGCAAATGTCCTTGTTGTGTACTTAAGCAAATTTTGGGTATATGCCTAGGAGTGGTATAGCTGGACCTTGAGGAAGCACTATTCCTAATTGTCTGAGAAAGCGCCAGATTGGCTCTTCTTTAACAGCTTGCTTGTTTTTGTTACTGGCTTGAATAGGCTTAGGAAGGTTTGAGGCTTTAGTGTTAAGTACAAAGAAAGAGTACATTGTATGCAATATGCCTTTTTTTGAGTTTAAAAAACAAAGAAGAAACTGTAGGAAAATAATTTTCAATCATAATTACTAATGCCTTCATTTAGCTTCAGGTAATTTTTTACTAATAAATAAGTTTTGAATTATTTTTAGATGAAAACAAGAAACCAGTTTATCTGATCACAACCCTGGATAACACAATGGAAGATTTGTTAACACTGGAGTTCATTAAGGTAAGCAGTTCTTATTTCACCTGATGGGCAGGTAGATGTGCTATTGAAATTCAAAATTTAGTGTGCTTAATCCTTACTCGTAACATAACCTCATCAGTTCCTCAAAGGGTCTTTTTGTTTTATCATTATTGTCATGTAGTCTTGCTTTACAAATATTTCATACAGCAAAGTAAGTACCCTATGTTCTAAGAACAAACAACCTCTAGTTTGACTTTTCCTACCAGAGAATTGAAAAATAACTATTTAGAGTTGATGAAATTTTTTATTGCACATGGTACAAGAAGATGAATTCATTTCATTTCTACCATTTTCTAGTTACCTGCCTTTTAAGTATCAGTGACTACATTTCATTTATATTGATTTATAATATCTGTTTTAAAATTTTATGAAGCATCTGTATGTACTGTGGTCGACTTGTGAATTACTCTTTGTTTTAATTCGGCATTGTGAATGCTTTAATAATTACTTTGTAATTAGAATTATGCCAAGAGAATTTTACCATACTTAAAACCATTTTTGCTTCCATGATTGGTGCTTTTTAAAGATTTTTATTGTTATATTTATATCAGGTTTTAGAATATACAAAAATCTAAAGAAAATTAATAAAGCAATTCTATTTTATGTGTATTAAATGGCTTACTATTCATAAAGGACTGCCATTATCAGGAACATTATCAGTATGCAGACCATAATATATGTACATATATCACTAAGTATATAAAATTGTATCTACCTCATTTATAATGAATTGATGTATAGTATGCAAATCTTGAAAATTTTTCACCTATCATGGAATTATCCACATAAAATGTCTTCGTAACATGTTCTAATATATACAATTTTTCTCTTTGGATAGGCTGAAAAAAATGCACCAAATTTGAAAAGTACCTATAAGAATGTTTTACAGCTTATTAAGGTATGAGTATATCATTATTTATTTTAAAATTAGATATGTATTTTTTATCTAGATATCTTACCAATAATTATTTTATAATTTGAATTAAAAGATCCCTGAACATAAAGCTGAGTATTTTAAATCATGTGCTTTATACCGCAAAGCATAGTGTATTTTAAAAACCATCAAGTCAATTTTTTATTGACCTATTACTAAAATCAATTTTGTTCTATAGGTGAATTTTTCCTCTGTGGATATTCATTTACATACTGAAGCACTTCTCAATACAATGAATTATCTTAATAATACTCTTCCACAATTAGGAGAACAATCCACCTCTGTGTCTGTTGCAGAGACTGAAGACAAAGGAGATATCATTAAAAAACTTGGTATATTTCTTTAAATTTTAAGTTTTTTGTTGTTTTTTCACCAATAGGAATGTAATTTCAGGGTCTGGTGTTGCTTTTAATTAGACAGATATCTAAAATGATTCTTTATAGACCAGGTTAATTTTAGAAAACACTGATAGAGTAACCTGAAAAGGTGTTTATTATGCAATATATTTGAGTGGAGAATTAAATAAGAGATATTTGATTTAGATTAAAGTTTGTATGTGGCATTATTTTAGATTAGAAAAAAATGTAACTGACAACATTTGAGTATTAGCATGTCAGTTTTTAATCAGAGTAAAGGTTAAGATTTGTGATGCTCTAATACCTGAAACTTCTTGAGTATAATAGTAATGCTGAACAGCCTTTAACTTGGAAAACCTTTGAACTTTTGAATTAGAGATGCTCTGCCTGATGCATGTAGAACAGTGAGTGCCCGTGCTTTCGGTAATGCAGTTGTCTCAGAGAGGCATAGTTCTTGGGAGAGTTTCTTATTTTCAAATGATTAATCACCTTTAAGACCAGTCTTTGGCCTGACTTTTTTTGTATTCATTAGATAATTCTTTCTTAGAGTTCTTAATTCATTAGGGGATATTTTATCTTTGCTTATAGTTATAGGGTGTTTCTTCACCGTAATACAAAAGGCATTCTAGCAGTTTTCATTTGGGGGGCTAAACCAGCCCAGAGAATCAAAAGTTGACCTCGTTTGAAAGAAACATCCTTGTGCTGTAGGCAGTCCATAGCATGTGCTCACAAAACGCAGGAGGAAGACTCGTGGGCTCTGCAGTCAAGTGAAGCGGTTTTCATCCCAGCTTCACTGCTTTCTGACCTTGGACGTGTAATTTACCTCTTTAAACTTTTTTTTTTTGTCTGTGACAAGGGGCTAATAAACGTTATGATTATTTGTGGTGATATTTTAGCTGCCTTCTAAGTGTAGTGTGGTAATTACTAAAACTTTCCTTGTGTTGTTACAATGTGATTTTTGTTTTGTAGCTTTAAAGCTACCCACGAATGAAGATATTATTACCTTGCAGCTTTTGGCAGAATTATCTTGTTTACGGATTTTTATTCAGGATCAGAAACAAAACATTTCTGAAATAAAGATTGAAGGTAATAACATTTCATAAAAATTTAAAATTAAAGGTAATAACATCTGATAAAAATTTAAAATTATCAAATTGAAAAAAAAAAGAGCAAGTATTCATTTTTTATTCCCTTAGGGCTTGATTCTGAGATGATTATGAAGCCTTTAGTCACTGAAACAAATGCGAAGCTAAGGAATATAGTTGTGTTAGATTCTGATAAAATGGCTGTATACAAAAAGGTGAGATTTTGTTTTTATTAAGTACTAATGTATCATTAAATATGTAATGTTCATAGCAATTAGATAGGGATTGTCATGTATTATTGGTGAGTCTTATGCATAATGGGGTTTAGAACCAGGTCCAGTTGATTTCTTAGCTTTGATATTTAATATTTGTATGATCTTTTCAGTTATATAATTAAGTTTTTTATTTATAAAATTAAGATTATGATTTTTTTTTCCTAAATAAATAATGTTCCTGGAACAAAGAGGCTTTTTGGGTGGTTGGGGGAGGAGAGTTGCTAATAAGTAAGTGCTCTCTTCTTTAAATGCCCTAAACTACCTATTTCAGATAATGAGATCAGAAGGTGTGGAATATTGCAAGTGTATTTTCGTGGATGCTCACCAGTATACATAGATGTTAAAATAAATGAATCCTTTGATTTTGATGTAAATGACTAGTTACTTTGTTAGTAATTGTTGAACAATAAGGAATGTGCTGAAGGAAGTTATGACAAATTACTACACTGTAAGATCAGGAAAACCTGAAGTATTCTTTGAGTCAGGAAGTGAATTCGACAGGAAGAAAGAAAATTTTGTACATGACTGGACCTAGTTGCTTAGTATATTTTAAATTTTTTTTCTGTATTTTCTGTTTTATGTGTATGAGTGTTTTGCTTGCATGTATGTATATAATGCATACATATTAACAGTGTGTCTTAATATGCATGATGGGTTTGTATTGCATGCATTTCTTGTGCTGACGGGTCCAGAAGAGAGTGTTGGCTACCTGAAAATGAAGTTACAGATAGTTATGGGCTGCTCTGTGGGTGCTGGGAACTGAACCCAGGTCCTCTGGAGGAGCAGTGAGTGCTCTTTACTGCTGAGCCAGTCCTCCAATTGCATCATTATTGTTGATATAGTCATCAAGTGATATTTTTATGTGAGAAAAATTATACGTTTATATATGTGTATACATATATATGTGTATGTATGTTTATATTTGTGTGTATATATATGCACATAAATACATATGTATGTATTAATAAAGAGTGATTTAGCATGAGTCTCAAAACCTGTATGATTTATATAAATAAGAAACAAAAGAATTTCCAAAGTCATTATTTGCTCCTCTGTCACCTTTACTTTATGACTTATGGTGTATATAGGTCAATGAAAGATAGATCATACAGTTTTATTTATCCAGAAAATGATGTTCACAGAAATGAAATTATCTACTAGGTCATACAGATATTAAGAAGTAAATTATAGATCAAAACATTTCTTTTTCTGTCTTTATTTTATTTTTAAAATATATTCAGTATTAAAATATAGCTTTAAAATTTAAGATTGAAAAGTCTCTTTCTCTTGTCTTCTTGCTCCACTCTAGTGTAGGTAATTTTTAAATGAACTCCATTGTGTAACCAGAACAGCGTAAGTGTTTTGCTCAATATTAAAACTTCTGAGGTCATTATGCTGTAATAAATATATGTTGCTGTCTTCTGACTAGGTTTGTATATGTCAGACCAAGTCACTGTGAACTTGACTTGAATGGAGAGCAGCATTCTCCATTTACAAGTATATGATTGTACAATAGCATAGCTACTGGTGAAGATAAAAATAGCGTCTACTTTACCTGATATTTTACTGAAATAAAACAGCATGCTGCTAGTTTCGCCTTTTTTTTCTTTAATATAAAGATATCTAAGAAATTAAGATCTTTTAAAAATACAGTTTTGATTGCTTGTTAATTCTGGGTAGCAAATATAAATGTATTTTTAATTAGTTTTCTGTGTTTCTATAATGGCTTCATAAAATTAGTTAAAAATGTTTTCTATTAGTTACAGTTTTTTCCCTGGCCCACAATAGATCACTCCCTGATAGTCTCTCCCTTTGTCCAGACAATTAAAAACCACTTATGACTGTAAGAAACCTTATGCCTCAACATTTTGATGCCCACACTGAAGGCAACTTTGAATTACTACTTTACCTGTATCTTATTTCTACCTGACTCCTGGTACTTCAGCTAGGTCTCATGGAGTGCCTCTCCTTATCCATGCCTCAGACCTCACTAAAAGTCATTGTTTCTCTTTGTTCCTGGGAATTGATGCCTTTTTTTTTTTTTTTCTCCTTCTGGGTCCTGCCGTGCCACTGACAACAGCTATCTCTGTAATGAAGCTTCTCTTTGGACCTGACCACAGTTCCCATGACTGTTACACTCTCACACTTTGGAAAAAGGTCTTCTTTTGAGGGGTAGTTCATGCTAGCTACTTTCTACCAAAAATTTGTGTTACTTCTTTCTTAAGTGTTTGGTATGCATCAGCAGAGATTTATTTTATCTTACATATCCAAGATTATCATCACCAAGGGAAGCCAAAGTAGGAACTAAAGCAAGAAACCTGGAGGCAGGACAGCCCAGGATGAATAAACCAGTGCTCCATGGTTTCTACTTCTAGAGATCTAACTCAGTAGGCTCTAGAGATCTAAGTAAGTCATAGTAACAAGAAAAGAAACTAATGCAACTCCTGTCTCCTAACTTCAATCCTAACCATCAAGCTTGCATACATCAGGAACGTGGGACAGCAGCCTGCAATTTTAAGAAAAAAGCCAAATGTGTAAAGACAAGTTTCTGTGGGAAAAGAGTAGAGGGAAGGTCAAAATGTTAGCATGGATCAGAATCACAGCAATATAGCTTCATTGTAGGCATACAGACAACTGCAGGAGTGTGGCGCAGTGGTGAACTCCTTAGACTGGGCATGTGGCACACTTAACTCCAGTAATCTGGAAGCAGAGTAGGCACACGTCTCTTTAAGTGTAGAGCTAGTGTGGTCTACGTTGCAAGTACCAGACCAGCCTGGGCTACATAGAGAAAAGGAAATGCTGTTGTTTATCTGGCCTTCTCATTTTTTATCTTTTAATTCTGTCCAGGACCCCTACCCTTTAGGTGTGGTCTTTCCCCATTTAGTTAATTTTCAACCCCTATTGACACTCAAAGTTGGGCCTTAGTAATGCGCAAGGCATTTGTTTTGCTCCCCTTTCCTCTCTTCCCTGCCTGATCTCTCTTCAGTTGTGGTGGCATATCATGATAGCCATGTAGAAAGTCTAGGACAACTTGCAGGATTCCTTTCATTTCACAGTGTGGATTCTGAGGATCAAACTCAGTTTTTCAGAGAAGTCTTTTGAGTCATCTTCCTGGCCTTTTCCTAGGATTTTTTTTTTTCTTAAACCAATAAAATTGACACCCAAAATAACTCTTAAGACTTGGATGGCCATTTGTTCTGGCCTGTTTTCATTCATAGCCAGGCATTCTGTAGGTCTCAGAAATGGAACTTTGTGGAGGGTATGATCCCCCTCACAGCTTTCTGACTGCTATGTTTGCTGGCTCCTAACGTGTAAGACTGAATGAATGCCTTACTGAATGCCTTATCTGAGCTAAAGCAGACTTCTCATGGTCTGCTCCCAAGAGGGCTTCTTTTCCTTTTCGTAGGTCAAGCTTTCTTTTGTCTTTAACTCTTTAAGATGTATGTTTACCTAGGCCTGAGGTCAGCAAGATTTATTGTTTCTCTTTTGAGTCAGAGAATAATTCTGTGATGCTTTGGTCCTTTTTAAATAATTCATTTGTTTATTTTTATGTGTATGGATATTTTGTCATCTGTCTGTCTGTCTGTCTGTCTATTTGTATACCATGCCCATGCCTGGTGCCAAGGGAGGCCAGAAAAGGGTGGTTGCATCTTGAGGAACTATAGATACAAGTGTTTTGAGCTACCATGGGGGTACTAGAAATTGAATCCCAGTCCTTTCAAAGAGTGGTCAGTGCTGGTAACCACTGAGCCATCTCTCCAGGCCAGTGCTTTGGGCTTTGAATGGGATTTGGAAGTGTTTTCACTTTTCCAGGACTTACACCAAGTAAAACTCCAAGTTCATAGTTTTGTTGTTTGTTTGTTTTTAAGCATTCCCAAGAGAGACCAACAAAGGACCTTCAACTGGGGAAGTACTGTTTGTACTTCTCAGAGACTTTGTATCTCACATTGGTGTTCAGTCATCCTTCAAGTTTTAGCTGAATTTATCAGCTTAACTTACATGGCATTTGGCATTCCTTCCTCTTTCAATCTTGTAATCTTCTCTCCTGATTTTTCTTAGGGTACTTTATTGTCTTGTTATTTAATATTTCTAATAGTATTAAGAAAAATTATAACAATTCATTGGCTGTTTGCTAGCTTTAGGATTTGAAATGGTCTTCTATCGAGCTTTATGCATCGCACCTAGAAGCCCAGACTTCTTTTTTTCCTTTTTGTACTTCAGCCTTCCACATTTTCTCATAGTTTTGCTTTCTTGGGAACTGTTCTATGGTTGCTTTTCTTGGTTTTTTAACTCCCTGTTCTTGCTTTTAGAATATAAGTCAAGAAAGCTGTACACTTAATACTGTATTCATATATATATATATATGAATACACATATACATATATATGTACATATATATACACATATACATACATATGTATGTATATATATTCTTTTCTGTCACACTTTTAACTGGTAGTATGGAGCTGGATATTTTAAGTTAGCTTAGGCAGTTATGTGTTAATAATTAAAATGATTGTTAACCAGCTAATGAAGAATGAGAAGTTTGAGATATTCCATTGAAGAATACGAAAACCATCATTCATAGTTCTCAGACCTAGAGAAATGACTCACTGAGTAGAGGTAATTTGTGTGGGTGCTGTGTGTTAGCTTTGAAAGTTACTAATGGCGTTTCTCTGATAGCAGTTCAAGACAGAAAACGCAAGTGAGAAAATCCAAGTTGTTTTCGAACTAAATACACAAAACCTGGGCCAGGTTGACCTACCTGCTTTCATGATCCTTAAAAGACAAAACAACAACAAAAGTGCTAGGTTACAGGTTCCAATAAAACATTTGGAATTGTCTCATTTGTACTGTCTTAAATGCCTGGAAGATTTTCCAAATGGTAGAATGTTTTGTTATTATTTTGCTTCATTTTATTTTTGTCTTTGGGTATATTACTTCAATAATTGATTGTAACATTTGGGGTTCTTCTCTCCTTAAGGCTGTTTATATTACTGGAAAAGAGGTTTTCAGCTTCAAAATGATTTCTTACCTGGACGCAACTGCTGGGTCTGCATACACAGATATGAGTGTGGTTGATGTTCGAGTTAATTTAACTGTTGGTTGCATTGAAGTAGTGTTTATCACAAAATTCCTATATTCTATATTGGTAAGTTTTTTAAGAAATTATTTTTTTTCTAGATGTGAGTTGCTATGTGTTAAACATAAACTAAGACAGACCCTATCTCAAAAATTATGCATGTATAACAATTTTAGATTGCATTATATATACATGTAATGTATGTCTGTTGGGTTTTTTGTTTGTTTGTTTGTTTAAAGATAATGTCTTTCAACATGGTCTTAGCTGGCCTGGAACTCAATAAGTAGACAAGGCTGACCTGGTCCCACCTTCATCTGCCTTCCAAGTGCTGGGGTTAAATGTATGTCAACATGTCTGGCCTAATAAAAATATATTTTACAAATTAAAAATAAAGTAAACAAAGAATGCTCATTCATTTTTGCTTTTTTGGTTGTTCAAAAATACTTCATAGAAAAATTGTATAGTATTTTCAGGTTAATACATCACATTGAGTTAAAAAGAAGTTTAAAATAGAATAGAGACTGAGCTAGAAAGGTTTATACACACACATATTTAAAATTTGTTGAGTACCATAACAACCAAAATGTTTAGTCCTACATTTTATATATAGTTTTGGCAAATATTTTAGTTAATTGAAAACATTTATTAATATGCCAATATGCAGTTTAGTACATAAAATATATGCATATATTATATGATGTACATTGAACTTCCTAGTTTGTAAACCATAAATCTAAGTATTTGCATATGTGTGTGTCTTCCTAAGTTGCTCTCTCCCTGTGTGTTGGGGCAGAGGGTCATTTGGCCTGTACTAGACATCCCCTACCCACTGCTCCTGCCTGCTGACATGAGTGAGCACCACGTTTCCCTGGCTTTCTGTGTGGGTGCTGAAGATTCAACCTCTGTCCTCAGAGTTGTGCTACCTGTGCTTTAACCTCTGCAGCCTCTCCTTTCCCTGTCTCCATTGTCTGGCATCATGGGTCTTTCATGCTGCTGTCTCTTCTGACTGGTGTATTAACTAAATAATCAAGTCTAAGACATTAATAGAATAAATAGGTCAAGTATGGCAGTATTTAAAAAGAAGGATTTCATGTATTTATTTTGAGATGATCCTTTTCTGTTTTAAAAATTGGATTTAGTCTAACTTGATGTGACCTTTTAAACTACAGTTTGCATGAATTTTCCCCCAAAAGTCTTTTTGTACAGCAAAATCAAAGATGAACACTTAATTTTTTTTTTTTTTAGAATTTCAAAATTGAATACTTATGTCATTTCCATCACTACTTTTCCCCGCTTCAACTCTTCTTGTTCTCCTCCACATTTCCTCTCAATTTCATGACCTCTTCTTTATTATTGTGTGTATGTTTCTGTATGTATTTGTCCCTGGAGAAAACAAATTCTTTCTCAGCAGCCATTGATTGCTTGTAGCTCTTCATCTAAATGTAAGGCCTCATGAGATTTCCCTATCCACATTGACATACCAACTGGAACTCTTCATTATTCAGGTCTTGTTATAGAGATTTCATGGATTAAGCCTCTCTGTCTAGAATTCAACATCTTTTAGCAGGTATCCTGGTCCTCTGCCTCTTTGAATTCCCCTCACCCCCGCCCCAGCACACACACAATATTCCCTGAGCCTTGGGTGTAGATGGTGCACTGGAGATGTCCCAGTTGGGGCTGGCCCCATACCATCACTTCTCTTCTGCACTTCGACCAGTTGTGGATCTCTGTGATAGTCTCTATGTATTGCAAAAAGAAATTTCTTTGATGAGAAGTGGGAGCTACATTGACTGTGTAAAAGGACAGATAGTTGTAATATAGTTAGACGTTACATTGAGAGAAAGAGGGGCCCAGGAGATGGCCGGGAAGGTAACAGCATGGACTACTCCTCCAGGGACCAAGGTTTGATTTGCAGTACCCACATGGTGGTTAACATCTCTACCTAGTCAGATCAGATGTTCTGTTTTGACCCTCACAGATACCGCCTGCTTGTGATACACACACATACATATAGGCAAAACAGTCATATATGTAATATTTTTTAAAACTTTTTAAGAAAAAGAAAATTGCAGTATTAGGTTCTCTTTGTGGGTACATGATTTCTTTGCCCACTCGTAGTTAGCTAGACAAAATATTAGGCACAAATTCCCTCCTATCAAGTGGACTCTAATCAATCTTGGGTGCACCCAACAGCTGTCAAGTTGGACTAAGACCAACTCAACAGGAGGCAATCCGTGCCTAGTAGGGTAGTTTTGGTTTGTAGACTTTACCATTGATTTGGATTACCAGTTACCATTGTTTGCTTTTCTCTTTTGGCATCTTACATAGCACCTTTTAATACTATGAGAGCTAGTCCTCAGATTGGAGGCTTCCAGATCAGTTTCAGATTAATTTCTTCAATTCTTAGTCTAAACTGTGTGATTTCTTTCTTTCTTTTTTAATTAATAGGGTACTACCTTGAAGTTCTGAGAGACAACCAAAGGCACTAGCAGTGGCCTTTGGTTATATTATAACTCCCAATATATTACTTTGGGAGTTTCTTAGATTCCATGACCAAAAACTCTAAGGAAAGTTTCCTGTGCTTGGCACTGGGCTTTTTGTTAAATAGGCTGTAGGCTATTAGCTATAACTCTGGGGAGATACTGTCACTGCATGTGGTATGATTCCATTTAAAATACACACACAAACATACACACACTTAAATAAACTTCTCAAATGTTTCCCTATAACATTTAAAAATATCATTAGTGTTATTTATCTTTTCTTCCTCTCTCATCTCTGTATTGTCTTCCTCTCCCCTATTGAGTTACATACTCAACACTACCAATTTTTCCATTTTTCCACTTCATAGAGTCTATCTCCCCCTATACTGCTCTTTCTAGAGTTTCCTTCCTGGTCCAGTGTTGTTTTACTTTTCTGGCTTTTGCAGTTACCTTTTTTTTTTTTTTTTTTTTTTTTAATATAGTGAAGTCTAAAGATTCAGTGATAGAATTCACAAACAAGAGAGAAAGAACATGGAGTGTGTTTCTGTGTTTCTGGGTCTGGGTTACTTCATTCAATATAATTTCGAGTGCCAACTGTTTAGCTGTGAATTTTATTGGTTTTTTTGTTGTTTTTATGTTTTTGTTTTTATAGTTGAATAGGATTTATTTGAATATATATACCACGTTTTATCTATTCATCAAAGAAGGAGATTCAGATTGTTTCCATTTTCTTGCCCTTGTGAATAGGGTGGCAGTGGACATAGCTGAGCATAGTATATCTGTAGTCGGATGTGGAAACCCATCTTAGTCCCTTTTCCCCCTCAGATTACATGTGCTCTTCTGTTCCCATCTCTATTGCTCCCCCTACCCATGCAGTGGTACTTTCCTTATTTGTTGATTTACTCTTCATGTACTTCCATTTGAAGATTTGAAGCTAGGTGCCTCAGATATCTGAGAGAGAACATGCAATGCTTATCTTTCTGCATCTGGGTACCTCACTTAGTATGATCTTTTCTGGGTCTCATCAATGTACCTGTGAATTTCATGATCCCTTTTTTTTTTTTTTTTTTTTTTACAGCTGAATAGAATTTGATAGTATGTATGTACCACGTTTTCATTATCCACTCAGCAGTTTAAGAACATTTAGGTTGTTTCAATTTCCTAGCTATTGTGAATAGAGCACAATGAACATGACAAGTGAGGAATACAATTTCAAGTACCTTGGGCACACAGCTCACACACACATACACACACTCTCTCTCATATATACACACACATACACGTGACAACAGAAGTATAGCTGGTTATCTGATAGATCTACTTTTGTCTTTTTGAGAACTTTCCATCCAAATTTCTGAAATTGCTCCCTTACCTCCTCATCCTCACCAGCATTTGTTTTCATGATCTTTGCCTTTCTAACTCAGTAAAGAAAATGTGATTTGCATTTTCCTACTTGACAAGGCCATTCTTTAGCTATTTTTATTTCTTCTGAGAACTTTTTGTTTAGAGCTATATTCCACAGGTCTTTGGTTGTTAATTGTTGGGTTTGTTTTGTTTTTGTTTTTGCTTTTCCTCTGGATTGTAATCTTCTGTTGGATGTATATCTAGCAAAGATTCTCTCACACTCTATGAACTTATTCTTCACTCAGGTGTTTGTTTCCTTTGCTGTATAATTTTTAGTTTTGTGAGGTCCCACTTGTCAGTTTTGGTCTTCCTTCATGCTCTTCTTACCCACGAGCAACCTGGAGACTGAACTTGGCTTTTCAGAGTGGTAGCAGGTACTTCTACACAGTGAACCATTTCATCAATCCTTAAAGTTCTTAAATACTTTCAAGATTTTCTAGTCCATACTACAAATATGAGTGAACTGTAAGAAGTGATTAGGTGTTAGAGAAAGTGCACCATAAGGAAATAATACCAATGAAATGGTCAAGTATCTCCTTTGGCTTTGTTCTTGTGACTAGATTTTTAATTTTAACTGTATGTTTGTTCAGTTTTTTTTTTTTTAATTTATGAAAGTATAATTACAGCTAATACAAGTTATAATTATTTAATGTTTTATTAAGCATATATTATGAATGTTATTCTCTCATCTTCATAGGGTTTTATAGATAATTTTCAAGCAGTTAAAAGTGCCTTGGCTGAAGCAACTGTGCAAGCAGCAGGAATGGCTGCTGATGGAGTAAAGGAACTGGCTGGAAGGAGTTCTAGGTTCGCATTGGATGTTAACATCAAAGCTCCAGTTGTGATCATTCCACAGTCTGCAGTGTCTCAGAATATTTTTGTTGCTGATTTTGGATTAATTACAATGAAAAATACATTTGTTACAGTAACAGAGACCCAGAGTAAGGTCCCACCTGTCATAGATTTGATAACAATAAAGTTGAGTGAAATGAGACTATACAGGTAAGTTTTTCACAATGTATTTGTGCAAAAGAAGTTGATTTTTCTTAATTCTTAGACTAAAGGACATGATATCTTTAGAATTCTTGTCATAGCGTGATTTTATTTTAATATAACTTTTTTGTGATTTTTGAAGGTGTATTCTAGCTAGATCAATTATAGCCTTTCAGAAAAATAAATATTTGAAAACTGCTCCTTACATAATGAAGAAAACTGTAAACATTTTATATTTTTCATATATTTTCATATTTTTATAATTCTTTATAAGGATGCGGTAGATGGAAAATTTTGACACGAAACTCATTCACTATGCAACACATAGTTTCATCCAGTCTGTTCTGTCAGATTTGAATATTTTTAAAGCAAGTTTATCGAGAAATAGTTGACTTGCAAAAATGTACTTCATGGCATTAAGTTGTAGAGAATTAGTAGACTGGGGGAGGGGAATGGGAGAAAGGGAGGGAGGGCATGAGGGAGGAGTCTGAGGCTGGAATACAAAGTGGATAAATTATAATAAAAAATAAAATTTTAAAAACCTAAAAGAAGAAAGAGAATTCTCTTTTTAGTTATTAATGCTTGGGAGATCCAAGATGATGGCACCAAACCCAAACCCACCATCTGTGGATGCCTTCCTGGGATCAGCACCTGGTGGCTCAGCCATTGGGTGTTCACTCTCACTGCTTGTGGAGTGAATACCACCCTCTACTGAGGGTGAGGCTCCAAACCCAGGCACCCACACTCACAGTCCTGTGGACACCTAGGTACTAGCAGCTCCTGCTTCCAAACCTAGGAGACCACACTTAACATCCTGTGGACACCTTCCTGATCTCAGCGGCCAGTGGTGCTCACTCTCACCACCCTGTGGAGGGGATACATTCTGGTACTGTGGAGGATGTGTGGTTCCAGTCTGCCTGCTCCCCATCTGCCTGGCTTACCCGGGTCAGAATTAGCCAGCACAGCAGTGAACCCAGTGAGTTCACACACAGTGCACCCAGTAGAGCTGAGCTAGATGTGAGGCCCAGGTTCCATTCTCTAACATCTTAAGGAAGCCTGTGGGGCACTGGGGCAGTTCTAGGCACAGAGATCTATTCACCGGCATCCCCGTGGCCTACCTTACCTAGGCCAGAAACAGCCCAGCACAGACAGAATCCAGCAGAGCTGAGCTAGGCACCTCACCCAAGTTCTATTGTTCTCCTCCCCAAGGAAACCTGTGAGGCACTGGAGCACTCTAGGTTCAGAGATCTTTCTGCCTGCTCCCCAGCAGCCTAGCCTGAGTAGTAACTAAGAATAAAATTTCTTCTGAAGGAAGTAAACTTTTGACATAGCAATTATGTTTCTTTCAAAGAGGAGAAGTTTATCCAGAGATATTTATGAAGTTTTTATTTTCGTGAAAACAAAACCATTTTTAACATAAAGCTAATTAAATAACTTACTGTATAGCCATGTATAATGCATAACCATTAAAGTTTCATGTCTATATGTATTATGCATTTCTCTATGGGGTTTTAGATGGCTTTACTCACTGCCATTAAATGGATATTTCTAGCATGCATACTTATTTAAATGTAGCTTTACGCTATAGTCTGTTTATGAAATGGTTTCATACAGGTATTCTGAGTGATCTCTAATTACACCCATGCTTTCATATTGCTGAACTGATAGCTAAAAAATGAAGTCATGTCTTTTTACCCTAGTTTAAAGATTCAAAGCTAATTAAATAATAAGTAATTATTTAAAATATTAGGAATATTATTGGGTGTAACTTGAAGATCCAAAGAAAGCTTCTGTGGTCAGTTACAATGTCCTTGAAGAAATTCACTGACTTAATCCTTTTCAGTTTTGCTGTAATATCATCTAGAAAGGCAAATGTGGTGCATCTTTGTATGAAATTGTACATAGTCAACTGTTTAGACCCACGGACAGATTTTATGTGGTACAGTTTTGTTTTTATAAAGCGATGTGGTCTTCTGCCACATGTGCATTACATTTGTATTTGCTGATTTTATAGAGGCAGTTCTACACCACTTAGTGGCTTTGACCTTTCACTGTTTGTAAAAATACTATTTTTAAGTCTTAACTTCTCTATGATATACAACAGTTTACTTGAGAGAAGTAAAGTCAAGTCAAGTCACCCAGGTTTCCAGTTGGACATCTCATTTTGATATATGTGTATATATAAAAAAAAGTTGCCAATGTCTCCTATTTAGTAAAGAACAATACCTTAAAATTGATTAGACTGTGTGTTTTTCTTCCTGAATATATACAAAACAGTTCAAAACAATATATTTTTCCAATAGGTCTCAGTATATGAATGATACATACCAGGAAGTGCTGGATCTGCTTCTGCCTTTGAATCTGGAAGTGATTGTTGAAAGAAACTTATCCTGGGAGTGGTACAAGGAAGTTCCTTGCTTTAATGTAAAAGCTCAGCTAAAACCCATGGAGGTAATGGTTTCCCTGCTTTTAATTTCTGTCAGGTCTGAATAGTATTGTCTCGGGAACATAAATTTCCTTCGTAGAATTTAAGAATAATCAGGTTGGTTAGAATTAAAATTGTAACTTATAAGCCAGAATTCATTTGATGTTCTTTGTTCATTCTCTATCAGATATTTGAGTGTTTGCTGTGTGCTAACATTTATGCTACATATAAAAGATACTGTGACAGAAAATCATAGGATGTCTCTGTTGTCATGAGACGTAGCACCATGAACCAGGTTGGTGGTGAAGGTGGTCTAAGATACGTAATTTATAGCAAGGAAATGAAGAAGAAGAAATTAAAGAAGCCTGGGGAAACAACTCAGTGGGGGAAGTACTGTGGTATAATTGTGAGATCCAGTGTAAAAAGAAGCTGAGTAAGCACTGTGGCCACCTGAAATTTCAGCACTAAGTAGGTAGAGACCGGACTCTTGGGGCAAACTGGCTCTCTGGTTGGCAAGATCTGGGTTCATTTAGAGACCCTAAACTCAATAAACAGAGAACAACACCTAACATAACTTTGGGTATCAGTAGATACACGTGCACATGTACTTACAAACACAGGTCAGTATCACACACACAAAACATAGACATTTAACTAAGGCACATTATAGTTGGAAATAAATTCTAGTTGATAGGTATATTAGTCAAAAGTTTATGGAAAGGTCTAGGTTAGCAAAAGAAATTGAGGAGTCATTAGTGATACTTAGCACTTGTGAAAGATGAAATGATTTATCAAAGTGTGTGTGTGTGTGTGTGTGTGTGTGTGCAGAGAGAATTCTAGAATAATAAGATTAAAGGTAGATTACCTCATGCACCACTTTACTTAGTAACTGGTTGACACTGCTTCACTGTCATAGAATAGCCATAAATTCATATTTTTTTTTCCTGTTGAAGAGATAGAAATCAAAACTGTTGCATGTTTTGTTTTGCTAAAGTGATAGCAACATATGCTATTCAGTGTTTTTTTTTTTTTTTTTTTTTTTTTTTGCAACTTTACTTTCTGTTTATCTGTATAAAAGTTTTTATTCAGGAAAACATTTTAGAAAATTTTTACTTTTAAGTCAGAATTATATTCAGATTTTAAAACCTGGCAACTAAAAGTTGTTAAGATCTTTATGGATGTTTTAACTTATGTGGTTGAAGAGGGAAGTTTTCTCTTTAAGGTAAATATTAAATCTCTATGTAGGTAAGATGACAGATAGAAGCTTATAAGTAACATGTCACCTACCATGGGGGAGAAAGCCTATGTTCTTGGATCAGTTATAAGCAGGTTTTTATGGAGCAGTCGAATTACTGATTTCGGTCACTCATTCCTTGTAGGATGTTGCTTAACTGGCTCTCCTCTGGCAGGGACTCATGCAGAAGTCAAGTTTTCTGTAGCTTTTTGTGTTTTTTCTTTCTTTGCTGCTTTGTGTGGGTTCTTCTTCTAATTGTCTCTTAACAATATCTTTCTCTGGGTCAGCTAAGCCTCTTGGCCCAATGGTACCAACTGTCTTCTCTTCTCACTCTGCTAGCCCAATTCATGTTTAACTGTATGTTATTTTTAATCTGTTCAATCTCTTTTCTTCTATAGTCCTACTCAGTCTTCTTTTTTCCTGCACCAACTGACTTCTCTAACCCTATTCTCTGTTCCCACTCTTCTTTGACCCTACTCCAATCTTATTCCTAATCAGTCTCACCCGGCCTCTGCTGCCTTTTTTATATCCTCTCCTGTTGCCAGAAGTACAGAAGCAAACAAACACTGAAGGGCATGGGGTCAACTAGCAATCCTTCAAAAGGCCAGGCACACAAAGCTAATCACACTTCCCTCTGCCCTGATTCACCAGATCAGTTAGCCACTAGTGTAGTTCACTCCAGAACAGATCTATTTAGATCACTACCCCTTAAGTCTTGAATGTCAGAAAATAGAACTGACTCTGTTAATGTAATATATGCATACCGATTACTTCAGTTTGCTAGTTTTTAACATGTACTATTTTTAGGGTTATACTCAGAGCTTACTCTCACATGTTGGAGCCACAGGTCAGCAGTCCTGCAATCTTTACAGTCCTTCCAATATTTCTATCTGACTGCTTCATAGGAATATAAAATGATAATTAAAATCAGTATCTCATGGACGTTTAATAGACTATACACATTAAGAGGTATAGTTTGTGATAATGCTAGGTTCAATTCTTATTTCATAGTAATCACAAATTAGGTGTTATAGATGAAAAAGGAGTGCAAGTTTGCAGGCATAGGCAGTATAAATAATTACATGTGGACATCTTTAAATGTATATCTCTGCAGTATAAAGGTCAAGGGCAAGTAATAGTTAAATTTTGTGAGATTAAAACGATCCCATTTAAAAATCAGAACTTAAACATTTAACAAATATATATGTGAAGAAAAAGTAGTTAAGAAATCTGTCTTAATTAAACTTATCAAATTGAAATGAGTTCAGAGCCTTGGCATCCATATTGAAAGTGTTTATAATCTCAGCTCTGAGAAAGGAGACAGGTAGATTCTGGTGAGCTCTAGGTTCAATGACAGACCTTGTCTTAAAAACAAAACAATCAAAAAGGTATATATGTACATGTGTCCCCTTTAGACTCAACTTGCAGATTCTTTTTACATTGTGTTTTCATATTAATTGCAGGTCTTCAGAGAAAAAGAAGCAATACAGAAGTATGTGTGAGTCAGGAAATAGTGTGTGAATTAAGGTACTAGTGCAGGGAGTTGAGGTCTTAGCAAGGGAGTTCAAAATTGGTTAGATAAATCTCTAGGATATCTAAACAGGGAAAGTAGATATTTCAGCAGTCAGAAAGCAGGCTTGTCATCTTACCCAGGGTCCTCCTTCTTTCTTAGCTTCTTTAGGTGTACAAATTTTAGTATGTTTATCCTGTATTATATGTCTAATATCCACTTAAAAGTAAGTATATACCATATGTGTCTTTCTGTTTCTGGGATACCTCACTCAGTATGATCTCTTCTTGTTCCCACCATTTGCCTGCAGATTTCATGATTTCCTTGTTTTTAATTGCTCAGTAGTATTCCATTGTGTAAATGTACCACAATTTCTGTATCCATTCCTCAGTTGAGGAACATTTGGGTTGTGTCAAGATTCTGGCTATTATAAATAAAGCTGCTACGAACATGGTTGAGCAAATGTCCTTGTTGTGTAGTTGAGTATATTTTGGATATATGCCTAGGAGTGGTATAGCTGGATCTTGAGATAACACTATTCCCAATTTTCTGAGAAAGCACCAGATTGATTTCCAGAGTGGTTGTACATGTTTACATCCCCACCAGCAATGGGGGAGGGTTCCCCTTTCTCCACATCCTCTCCAGCATGTGGGTAAGATGATCAGTCCTCTTTCAGAAAGGCAAACGGGATAGACATTGGAAGAGGGAGAAAACAGGGAACAGGACAGGAGCCTACCACAGAGGGCCTCTGAAAGACTCTACCCAGCAGGGTATCGAAACAGATGCTGAGACTTATAGCTAAACGTTGGGCAAGGTGCAAGGAATCTCATGAAAGAAGGGGGAGATAGAAAGACCTGGAAGAGACAGGAGCTCCACAAAGAGAGCAACAGAACCAAAAAATCTGGGCACAGGGTTTTTTTCTGAGACTGATACTCCAACCAAGTGGGAGGGAGCTACAGCTGGGATACAAAGTGAATAAATTGTAATAAAAAATTTTTTTAAAGCAGTCTTGTTAGCAGAATTCTTGTTTTGGGCAGGTCAGGCTTTTTCTAAGCAAATGCCTCATGTGGTGACTTGTATAAGAATGGCCCCTGTAGACTCATATATTTGAATGCTTAGTCACCAGGGAATAGAACTCTTTGATGGGATTAGAAAGATCAGGAGATGAGGCCTTTTTGGCAGAAGTGTGTCGTTGGGAGTAGCCCTCTTGTTTCAAAAGCCCATGCCCCAGATACAGTCTCTCCTGACCTGCTGATCAGGATGTATTTCTCAGCTGCTGCTCCAGCACATGCTTGTCTGCCGTGATGAGAATGAACTAAACTTGTGAAGCTGTAAGCAAACTACCAATTAAATTCTTTCCTTGTAAGAGTTGCCTTGGTCATGGTATCTCTTCACAGCAGTAGAACAGTGACCAAGACACTTTAGTTGATTAGATGAGGCCCACTTACGCTGTAGAAGGTAATTTAGTTTTCTCATTCATTTTTGAATTAAACATTAACCTAACCCTTTAAAAAAAAAAAACCTTTATAGAAACATATTGAATAGTGTTTGACAAAATATCTAACTACTTACTATGTCAAAGTTAACATGATGCTTAATTACCTGTCATATTGCTTAAGATATTTTTTACTTTTGGTTTGATGCTATGTTGAAAACAAAGAATTTAAAGTTAACTTGTTGAATTAGTTCTTAATTATTTGTAAAGGTGTCTTACCCATCTACTACAGCTTCTTATAAAATCAGGATTGCATTCTTTATGACTTTTGTGATGAACAAATAATTCATAGAAATCATATTATAAACCATTTTTCATTACACAAACATTTATTCATTATGTATATTTATAGTGATGTGCCTCCTAACCAAAATCAAAGTCTAAATCGTTAGATGGCTACATAAAGATGAAAGCTCATTTTAAAATGACTGAATTATATAGTATATCCATGATAAATAGTTCGTTGTTAGAACTGATAAAAATCTGTATTTTTTAAACTACTAATTATCACTTAGACTTAAAACTTAGTTTTTGGGAAACCAGTGTTCATTTTTCTTTTGTGAGTTCAGGAAGTACGACTGTTAAAAAAAATTCTTGGGGATAAGAGAGATGTCTCAGTGTTAAGAACATTGGCTACTCTACCAGAGGACCTAGAAATTCTCAACACCCACATGGTAGATTATAAATGATTGTAACTCTAGTTCCAGGGGACCCTATGCTCACTTCTACCTTCTGCCAGAGCTAGACATATATGTGTTGTACAGACAAAACACCTATACACATAAAATATTTTTAAAGCAATCTTCTTTCTTTTATGTGTGTATTTTCTTTTTGTAAAATCTTACTTTGTTTTTAACAGTTCATTCTTAGTCAAGAAGATTTAACAACCATCTTTCAAACATTGCATGGCAATATATGGTATGGAAAAGATGTTACTGCCTTGACTTCTGTGAGTAAAGACCAGGAGATCAGGACTACTGGAACTGCCAGTGTTTCCTACCAGTCCGGAGGTGTGTGTGTAGCCTGGCTTTCTCTCAGGCTTTTTTCTTTTCTCTTGTCTGTTGTCTTTCTGTCCCCCAACTTTTGTTTTTTTTTTAGGTCTTGGTAAAAGAGGACTTAATAATTCTCAAATTAGCTAGTCTCAGTTTGGCAATTTTAAATGATCTGTTTTTAGTCATTCTGCTGATTTTGTAGGTATAGAATCAAAGTTCTTCATGACAAAATTCTTAGACTTCTTGTTTTTCTTCCAAATAAGTCCTTCTTTTCAGTTTGTAGTATATATAATACTTAACTTGTTATATATTGGTATTTTAGGAATATCAAAATCTTAGAAGTGTGACAATGGAATAATCACATGATGGATTTTAACAAAAGTTGGCAACTTAGTTTGGGTTTTATGGCTGTGAAGAGACACAATTACCATGGCAACTCTAATAAAGGAAAACATTTAACTGGGACTGGCCTAAAGTTTCAGAGGTTTAGTCCATTAACATCATGGTGGGGAGCAGTGTGCAGGCAGACATGGTGCTGGATGAGCCAAGGGTGCTGAGACTGTGTGTCACAGTGGGAGTTGCTTGAGCATAGGAGATCACAAAGCCAGTGACACACTTCCTCCAACAAGGCCACACATACTCCAACAAGGCCATACCTCCTAATAGTACTAATCCTTTTGGGCAAGGCATTCAGACACCTGAGTCTGTTGGGGCCATACCTATTCAGACCACTGCAGGTGGGCAGTTGGATGGATGAAAAATAATAAAAGGAGTCATATTAGTATTAGTGCCGAGGTGCTGTGTGAATACGGTTGGTTCTGAGTGCAGCACCAGCACATGCAGAGGGGCTTAGTTAGTGTAGTCGGGTGATTCTGAGGCTCAAAGATAAAATTATATCCTCATTTTAACTGTTACAGGTGATGGCAAATCTGCCTCCCTTGAAGTGAAATCTGACAATTTATACTGCCTGCTTCTCCAAAGCCCTGAAATATTTCACAGCTTTACTATTTAGAATCCTACACAAATGTCAGTATAGCATGAAACCCCATCCTCACTGGAGAGGATAATCATCCTCATCCTTTATTGTTAAATATGAAATAAAAAAATTGTTCAAAGTGAAATAACCCAATAAAACACAGCCATGAAAGAAACAAAGATAAACAAAATAGTGTATTATGAGTGAAAAAGAAGTGACGCATTGAATGCAAATGACAGCAGGCCAGCAAACAAACAGGTATTTTACAAGGATATTGCCGAGAGACATAAAATAATAATTTTTGTCATTTGTACATTTTGTCTATGCTGCATAAAGTTACTCGCATATAATATTTACTCCTTATTCTGCTGTGGTTTGTATTATGCTATTGAAATATTTTACAAAAGATTAATAAAATTGAGCCATCTTTCCAGCCCTTGTATTTAACCTTTAAAATGAGCCTCATGTTCTTGATTCCAGATTTATGAAAGTAGGATTGTAATCTCCCAAAAGAAAATAGAAGCTCTGTGTGTTTAATGTTTTCTCTGTAGTTATTATGGAAGAATGTTAATCCAGAGTTCTGTATCTGAACTTTTTAACCTTTTTAAATTTTCTTGAATATCATTTTGTTACTCCCATGTAATTAATAATTTGGTAGGTCTCAAGGGTGCTTTAGTGGCATGTTCTTGTAGTTGTTTTCTCTTACTCCATATTGGTAATTTTGTAGCGACTACTATGGTGACGGCTGCTGTGGTGGAGGTGCATCCACAGGCTTCTCAAGTCAGTACCACACTGAATGTGAGTTTCAGAACTGACTATCTCACCATGGCACTTTACAGTCCAGGTCCTGAGCAGGTACGTTGAAGAATATTTATATTTGTTAAGAAATTTTGTAAATAAAAAGTATATAACTATCTAGTAAATAAAGTTAATATTTTGTGTATTTTATAGTGTATGTTCCCCTGAAAAATTACGTTTTCAATAATTTTTTCAAACATTTTCATTTTAAATGAGTTATCATTCATATAACAGAAAATATTGAAAATAAAATTTGAAAGTAGTACATTCATTATTTTTCACCTTTTCTTCAGCTTGCCCTTTGAAAATAGAGAATTTGGACTGCTCTAGTGCTGAGCAGTAGAGTAGAGCAGAGCAGAGTAGAGCAGCACAACCAGGTTCAGAGCCTAGCATCTAGAAAAGAATTAAAAGAGAAGGGTGGGGTCTGGTGGCATATGCCTTTAATTGAGAAAGAAGCAGGCAGGTTTGTGAGAGCTTAAGGAAGTTCCAGACAGGGCTTTGCAGGAGACCCTCTGTCAGCAACCAGTAATAGTGATAGTAATAATAGTAAATGAAAATTAAAAGAGAAACAACATAAAGAATTTAATATTTCATGTAGGCCACTGTCATAACTTGTAGATAACCATATCATAAAATATACTTTATGTTTCTGTGTAATTTTAATGCGAATTTCTTTTCCACAGGCCCCCTTTACAGATGTTCGTGATCCTTCTCTAAAACTTGCTGAATTTAAATTGGAGAATATTATAAGTAGTTTAAAAGTGTACACAGATGACTCTACATTCTTTTCTTTCTCATTAAAAAACTGTATTTTAGATGATAAAAGGCCTCATGTCATAAAAGCCACTCCTAGGTATGTATTATAATTTTGAGCTATTGAAGAAAAATTGCTTCATTCTTACAGAACTCATCCTCAGACATTGCCTTCCACTCCATATGTACTCATGAGCAGTCTTGAGAACTTCAGTTCAGTATATCATGTTGCCTGTTCACATTGGAAATGTTGATGGATTTATTAAATACATAGAAATAAGTAGTGTAGTTAGATGGGAAATGCATGAAATCATGAAGAAAGGATTAACTGATATTTAGAACTCTGATATTTCTTAGATATTTTTTCCTATTGTGAAACAGTTATATCCCAAAAGTTTTTTAAGTGCTTTATTCCCAAGGTACACCCTCTCAGAGTATTTGTTTGCTGTCAGTAAAAAGATAGACAGGGCATCAAGCTTTATTGGTTTGTTTGGTTATTTTTAACTTACCCATACATACAAATTGTTGTTTTGTTTTTCAGAATGATAGGACTGACTCTTGGGTTTGAGAAAAAGGACATGGTGCATATAAAGTATAAAAGATTCAGAGATAATTGTGTGACTGATGCAGTTCTCCAAGAAATGTATATTTGTGCAAGTGTGGAGTTTCTGATGACTGTTGCACATGTCTTTTTTGATGCCTACACGACTAGTACGGCTTTAGAAACCAGTGTTCAAACATGGACTACTAGAGAAGGTTAGTTATCAAATGAAAATTTTAATGTCTGCATTGCTGCAACTATAGTTACCCTGATTAATCTTTTCAGTGATTGGAGTAGACACATTAATACATTAAAAATCTATTTTCTTTAATTAAATTTTTATTTTTTTATATTTATTACAGTTTATTGACTTTGTATCCCAGCTGTAGTCCCCTCCCATTTTCCCTCCCAATCCCACCCTCTCTCCTTCATCTCCTCCCATGCCCCTCTCCAAGTCCACTGATAGGGAGGACCTCCTCCCCTTCTATCTGACCCTAGGCTGTCAGGTCTCTCTCATCAGGACTGGCTGCATTGTCTTCCTCTGTAGCCTCGTAAGGCCGCTCTCCCCTCAGGGGGAGGTGATCAAAGAGCCAGCCACTGAGTTCATGTCAGAAACAGCCTCTGTTCCCCTTACTAGGGAACCCACTTGGACACTGAGCTGCCATGGGCTACATCTGTGCAGGGGTTCTAAGTTATCTCTATGCATGGTCCTTGATTGGAATATCAGTCTCAGAAAAGACCCCTGTGCCCAGTACTTTTGGTTCTGTTGGTCTCCTGGTGAAGCTACTGTCCCCTCCATGTCTTTCATTTCCCCCTTCTTTCATAAGATTCCCTGCACTCTGCCTAGAGTTTGGCTGAGTCCCAGCATCTGTTTCGATACCCTGCTGGGTAGAGTCTTTCAGAGGTCCTCTGTGGTAGGCTCCTGTCCTGTTCCCTGCTTTCTCCCTCTTCCAATGTCTATCCCGTTTGCCTTTCTGAGTGAGGGTTGATCATCTTAAGCAAGAAGGGTCCTCCTTCTTGCTTAGCTTCTTAAGATGTACAGATTTTAGTGTGTTTATCCTATATTATATGTCTAATATCCACTTATAAGTGAGTATATACCATGTGTGTCTTTCTGCTTTGGGATACCTCACTGTGGATGATCTGAGTTATGTAATCGTTCTCTGAAGACACTACCAAGCAGGAGAGATAATGAACTAATTGTTCTTTAAACATAAGCATAGTGTTTTAATATAAAGCATTCATTAGCTTTTATAATCATGTTTAGCTTTTTAGTATATAATTTTTCTGTTATCTTTTACATATTCATTATAATATAGTAGAAAGAGTGTTGAGGTTGGAAATTTGATTTAGATCCATTTCTGCCATTAAATAGTAGAGACTTTTTCCCGTACTCTGATTCATATCTTTGTAAGTAAATGGAGGTTTGGTGGTGGAGCATGTGTATAGCATGTTCAAAGCTAGTTCTACATCCAGTCCTATGAGGAGGGGTCAGGGTGAGAATAATACCTATCTCAAAAATAAGTGCATAAGAAATGCCTTTGGGATGGGTGATTTGGGGGAATGATAATACCCATCTCAGAAAGAAATACATCATAATTACCTTTGGGTGGATGACTTATTTTATTTTTCACATTGAATGAATTAACAAACTGTTCCTCATAAATTCTTCTTAAGTAATATGTGTAATAAAATGTGATTATTTCTATTTTAGCACCTGTTCAGGAACTAGGGAAGTCGGAAATGAATATTCTTATTAAAAACCCCGAGATTGTATTTGTGGCTGACATGACAACAAATGATGCTCCTGCCTTAGTCATTACAATGCAGTGTGAAATTTGCTATAAAGATGAACATGAAAGCAATACAATGACTGCTGCCATTAAAGACCTCCAAGTCAGAGCATGCCCATTTCTTCCAGTCAAGAGAAAGGGCAAAGTTACCACTGTGAGTTTATTATCTAATAATCTACTTAATTGCAGGTTATTTAGGGATTACTGTAACCTCTTCAGAATGTGATTACCATCTTTTTTTCTAATCTTGTTCATGGCAAGCTTTCTTCCTGAATAGAGGGCAAAACTTAAGAGTGTTGTTTTATTTTTCTAGATGATCTTCTTTTAGAAGAATATGCTAAGCATTAACTTCATCCTTACACTTTGAAATATCATTTTGCTTTGAGGTTCTGTCAGTTTGAAAATGCTGTTTACCTTTAAGACTTTGTATTAGTTTTAGTAGATTGTGTTTCAGTTTTATTATTTTGATTTGGTTAATATTTCTCAAATTATGTGTTTTTATATATAACTTACTCCATCTTTCTGCCATTTGCTTTTACATACTTGATACTTGAATTTTACTGTTAACAATACATTATTTGGTTTCCAGTGTTGGAAATTAAATTCAAATACTAGGCAAATACTAACACTGGCCTATTCCTCTATGTCTTCAAAACTTTTCAACAACTCTTTAGTAGTCATAAATATACTCATGAAATGTTTAGGCTGCTATAGGAAAATGAAAGCATAAATATTCCTTATATTAGCAACTAAAAATAGAAACTTATTTTAGGAGGATCTTAACAACACAGCGAGGCTGATACTGAATTCACAGGTCTTCTGCTTCATCTGCCTGAGTGCTGGAATTACTACCATACCGAGCTAATCTTAAGTATGGTTATGATCTAAAATGGACTGTTTCTGTAGTTCTCAGGACTAGGTGGCTCATCACTAAGAAAAAAGGGAAAATAGAAGGTGGAGTTCATACTCAATTCTCTTGAGATTATGACATAATTTTTTTTGTACTTCTATTCACATTTACCATGCACTTTCTGGCTTGGATATAGCTGTAAAGTCTTGAAGGACTAAGAGTTAGACAGACTCCCTTGCAGCAAGGCAGACAGGGAGAGGGGCCATGACTAGGCAGTCCTCACATTCATGACCTGAGACAAAAGCTTGGCAGCTTAAATCGGCCCAGCTTATGGGCTGATTCAGTGGGCTCAAAAGCAGATCTATATATGTTTATACAACAGTTGTGAACCAATCTAGTATCAGTGAGAGGGGAAGGGCTGCTGCAATTACTGTGATCTAAACTGCATCTGGATTCTAACAATGCATTCTTATTCCTTACTCATCCAGTCAATAAATGAATTATAGATAAACTTACTTTACAGAGTTTTAATCTTAAATTTTAAAAATTAGGATATGTAATAGTCTGCTCTTAACAAGGTACCTGTCTTCCTGCAGTGTTAGAGCAAGGTAGATATATACTTCTCTTTCTAAGAATATGATAATGATGGTTACTACTAAAGCAAAAAACAGTCTTGGTAGAAATACCACCCAAACACTGCCCCTCCCTACAAAATAATATTTAAAAAACATTGTATAGGAAAGTTGAGGGAGGATGTACTTGATGACAGAAAACTTGCAATTTAATTTTTTTCTTTTGTTACTTAGAAAGTGAAAATTGTGATAAACTTCGTGTGTGTGTGTGTGTGTGTGTGTGTGTATGAAAATGGCCAAGTTTCCTGATTTCTTTATATGAATAGCAAAATGCTAGGAGGGAGAAAGGGAAAGAGAAAATTTAAACAGAACCAGGACTTAGTGCTTTTGGTAATTCTCATCCTTTCCAAATGGCAAAATGGCTGAAAATCATAAATGGATGCCCAAAGTGTAAAGATACAGTGTAGAGAAATGACTGCATGACTGTGCAGTCTTTTGCTAAAAACTCACAAAGATGAAATAATCAATAATGTTAAGTCACACAAACGATGCCTTGAGAATGTTAGGGTGTGTTGTTGGAGGTGATGGGAAGGAAGTAAAAGAAGCTGACAGGCTTCTACACAAGCATTGTTATCCTTTACTCAGAACAGCTGAAGGACTGACATCCCTCTGCAGGGTGGAGACTGCGAGTGTATCAAGGTGCACGATGGAGGAAGGGAGCTTGGGTATTTTATATGGTGGAAAGGGTACTTTTGGACTGGAAGATTCCCTCTGTTAGTTCCCCTATGTCTCAAGTGGTAAATAATACTCAAGAGGACTGTTGATCCTCTTATCAGAAATGCCCAGAACCTGACAACCTACTTTCCTGTCCTGAATTTCTCACTCTAACCCTTTTGGATATGTTGCACATCTTAATCTATTAAAGTCTTCTAGGAGCATATAATGTCACCCTTATTCGGCTTATCATTTTCTGGAAAAGATCAGTGGATGAGACTTTTAAACTAATGGAGTAAGTCTTCATGGAATACCCCAAGCCTTCTAAGATTCCTGTTTAGATTATTTTATCAGAAGTACTGTCACTTTCGATAGGAGATGGTGGTACAAAAAAGAAGGGAGACTCTTTGAATCATCATAATTTCATTGGACGTAGGCTGATGGTTTACCTTACCTCTCAATAAAAGGTGATGGAGGATGACTTAGTAAGAACAGAGAGATGCAAGGAATTATTCCTAGGATTAGAAATTGAGTTGAGAAATTTGTTTGCTAGGCTTGGTTTAAGAGTTGCTTTGAGCTGAACAACTTGTAACTGTCGTCCTGTGCACCTTTCCACCACTGTATGTTGCCATAGCCAGGCAGATCACCCATCCTGAGTTTTACAGTTCTTTAAAGAAGAGTTCCTCCCCACAGTCACACCTAACTGACTACATTCAGGAATCTTCTCAACATGTATGCCTAGTTCTAGACTTTAAGTTGGTAAAAGATAATTGAGATTTTGTATTTAGAATAGATGGAAGGTACAGCTGAAGATGTATAATGAGATAACAAATTAGATCCATGAAGAGATTTTGTGCTTTAATTGTGTTAGAATGAGATCCTTAGGAAACTTTGGAGAGGGTGAAGTATCACTTGGGAGAGACCTATTAGGAGCCTAGTGGTTACAATTCTGCTTGCCACAGTTAGGAAAAAGTTAGTTCATTTATAATGCCAGATTTATTTAGTGGGTTTAACATACTTAAGAGTTTTTCTTAGTGCCTTGCAGTTTGAACTTTTCCTATAAGATTGGCCTTTCACACCTATTTTTCTAGGGAACAATAGTATGATAAACTTTTAGTGAAGTAAAATAAATGATACCACATAGCAAGAGCTTCATTAAGCATTTTAAAATGGTGTGTGTGTGTGTGTGTGTGTGTGTGTGTGTGTGTGTGTGTGTGTGT